TCTGCAGCTCGTTTTTGTGAATACAGAAACATATGTGGATAACCAAGGATGTTAAAACGAGGTTCTACTTCTACACACGGGTGTGTGTTTAAGAGGCAGCAATGCTGGGAGCAGGCAGCTCCTTGTGGGCAGTGGGCTTTTAAACCAGCTCTCCATGAGCACCAGTTCTCACCTGATCCCTATCCCACTCCCGCACTGCTGCCTTTGTACCGCTAAGGATGTTAACAAGTACCCAAGTACACAGTTAACTGATGAGTCCAGCCTCAGTTAACCGAGGGGGTTGGGCTCATTGGTTATATGCAGCCCCACACTTTTTCTCCCCCCCACCCCGCTCCATTGCTACCTGTGTATGAGCAAGGGAGGGGGGGGAGGCTGCATGTAAACAAGAGGGTTAACCTATGAGTCCAGGCTCCCTCATTAACATCCCTAGTTGGTACAAACCTTGTATCCAGGGAGGGCTTTATTTAAAGGGGCCTAGATGTTCAGAGACTTTAAGTTGCACACCCTACAGATAGAATACTAGTTACTTGAAAATATTGGCTACTCACTTTATAGTCATAAGAAAAGATGGCCCTCTCACGGTGCATTGTTTTGTTATGTATATGGTGGAGGAGGGGAGTACAAATGCTGAAACCTGCTTCTGTAGGTTGTTTTTAAAATTAAAACAGAAGTATTTTCTTCAAACACTTGTCACGAATATGCCAGCATCAGGAATGTTGTGAAGAGGCTGAAACAGAGAGAAACAATTTTCTTTTCTGGTTAGTGTTGGATAGTTCTATATTGTTGTCCTCTCTACCCTTTGATGTCATATTGGAGAGTAGGGATAAAACAAAAGCTTAATAAATATTGAGGGAGGTGCCCTGTATAGTTAAAGCAGAGATGTGGCTCAGGCACTATAGTAGAATTTGCCTTCAATGGATAGAACTCCTACTAATGTGAGTAGGAATTGCTCTAAGGGAAGAATCGGGCCCAGATTATTATGAATAAAGGTTTTAATGACATTGTAGGCATGATAGCTATAAATACATAAGGAGCAGAGAAAGGCAAAGGAAAGTGTAGGTCCTCTACTTAGTGAGGAAGGAGAGCTATAATAGATGACATCTAGAAAGCCAAAGTGTTTAATGCTTATTTTGTTTCAATGTTCTCTTAAAAGATGAATTATGACTAGATTGTTAGCACAATTAACAACAAAGGAGAAGGAATGCAAGTCAAAATAGAGAAATAACAGTTACATATTTATGTAAGTGAGATGTATTCAGTTAAAAAATTAAAACTGTAGTACCTACGAAAAAAGCTGAAGCAGTGTCAGAATTGTTAGTAATTGTCTTCAAGAACTCATGGGAGATAGTGTGGTCTTAGAGGACTGGAGGAGAACCAACCACAGTACCTATCTTTAAAAATGGGAACAGTAAGAACCCAGAGACTTACAAATCAGTCAGCTTAATTTTAATGCCTGGAAAGATATTGGAACAAACGACTGTATATTTTATTAGCCCCTGACGGAAAATAGAGTTATGAGGAAAAGCTTATATGATTTGTCAAGAGCAAATTATACCCGACCAACCTAATTTCCTCCTCCTACAGGTTAACTGGCTTAGTGGTTGGCGGGAAGCTGTAGAAATGATGTATCTTAATTTTTGGAAGGCTTTGAAACAATCCCACATGACATTTTCATAAACAGATTAGGAAAATGTGGTATAGATGAAATTACTGGAAGGTGGGTGCACAACTGGTTGAAAGACCATATACTCAGTGTAGTTATCAATGATTTGCTGTCAATTGGGAAAGCATATCTACTGGAAAATGCTTGTAAAATCTGCAGATGATACCAACCTGGGAGGGGTTGCAAACATTTTGGAGGTGAAATTTAAAGTGGCCTTGACAAACTGGAGAATTGGTCTGAATCCAGCAAGATGAAATTCAATAAAGATAAATGCAAAGTATTTCACTTAGGAATGAAAAATCAAAAACACAATTACAAAATGAGGAATAGCTGTGTACATTATAATACTGCCAAATTGAATCTGGGGATCATAATTTAAATGAGTCAACAATATGTGGCTTTTGTTGAAGGAAAAATAAAAAAAGACAAATATAATTCTTGGTTGTATTACCAAAAGTGTGGTGTATATAAGACATGAGAAATAATTATTCTACTCTGCTTGGCACTGGTGAGGCCTCAGCTAGCGTACTGTGTCCAGTTCTAGGACATCTTTAAGAAAGATGTTGACAAATTGGAGAGCAAGTACTGAGGAGAGCAACAAAACAATAAAAGGTATAGAAAATCTGACCTATGGGGAAAGGTTAAAAAAACTGGGCATGTTTAATCTTGAGAAAAGACTTAAGAGGGGAACTTGATAAGTCATCAAATATATTAAGGATCATTATAAAGAGGACTAATCAATTGTTCTCTGATCCATGAAGGTAAGACAAGAAGCATTGGGGGTATAGTCTGCAATGAGGAAGATTTGGGTTAAAGATTAAGAAAAGCTTTCTAACCCTAAGGCTATGTCTATACTGCGCCCGTTTGGCGCAAGCAACATGCAGATGAGGCGAAGTATGGAATATCGCTGTGCCTCATTAGCATAATTAATGAGGCTCTGTTTTTGCACAAGAGGCTTTTGCGCAAGAGCCATTCTTCCGCATTTTTTCAGGAAGAATGGCTCTTGTGCAAGTGCGGGTTTTCACGCAAAAAGGAGCTGTGTAGACGGCTCCTTTTTGTACAAAAGCCTCTTGCGCAATAACAGAACCTAATTAATTATGCAAATGAGGCACGGCGATATTCCATGCTTTGCCTCATTTGCATATTTTTTGTGCAAAATGGGGGCAGTATAGACATAATCTAACAGTAGTTAAACTCTGGAATAGACTTTCCAAGGAGACTATGGAATCTCCATCATTGAAGACTTTTGAGAAGAGATTGGACATATACTTGTGAGAAATGGTCTCAGTTTGTGTGGTCCTGTCTCATTGCAGGGTGCTAAACTAGATAATCTCTCAAGGTCCCTTCAAGCCCTGCCTTTCTGTGATTCTGCAGCAGAGATGTCACCCGAGTACCATTATTCAGTGAACTAGCAAAAAGTATATTATAGACCTTAGCATGGGATACTTTAAAATATTTAATATGTTTTTAAAGTTGTAGTGTAAAACTTTCACATGTTGCGACCCAAGATCTTTGCAGAATTGCAGAATTTATCATAGAACTCAAACCCAAAACATCATGGTGTTAAGAAATCTTTTTCTAGGCACTTACAGCCACTGTATTTACATAACATCTGCAGAAGCATAATATTTTCATTTGTGAAATTGTCTCAGGAGAAAGTTAAAGCACAAAATTATGAGATTCTTTGGGATAGCAATAATTTCCAAATAATCTCTTCATATATAGATTAAATGAAGGAGAGAACACCAGATTTTGGTTATGTGACAGGGGATTTTCAAATAAACATAAAAGTGTTATGGACCCAACTCACATTGAAAGTTTGTGGAAGCAGCACATCTAGCTATACCAATTTGAAAATCCCATCCTTAATCAGTTTACAGTTGTCTCCTTGCTTTGGGCTCCTGATATAGCTATCATGTAGTTGAAGTAGCCGGTTCAGCTTGTTTCCCTTTTTTCTGTTCAAGGGATCTTTTGTCTTTTTTCTGGAACACTGGCAATTCCCTTGTTGGTTTTTAACCATTTTGTTCCCAACAACTCTCAGTGCCCTGTACTGTGTAAATCCACTCCTTCATCAAAGAGAACTGACTGGACATTCCATCAAAACCCATAGGCCACACTGGAATTCCCTTCTTTCTTGTTCTGATGCTCATTGTCTGCACTTCTCAATATCCAGAGTTCTCAGAGTGCAAACTCAAGGAGCCAAACTCAAGTGTCTTGAGAATTAGTACAGAGCAGTAACCCCAAAGACATCAGGCTGGACCTCAACATTTTGTTTTAAATTTTGCAAATGTGAGCTGTCTCTCTGATTTTTCCACACAGTACATTCGAAACTAGTGAAGTAAGCAGTTATCCATAGATGTGGGAGGCATGATCTTCCTTCTCAAACATAATCCTTGAGCACATCATAACATTCCACTTTCTCGCTGCACAGTGCTTTATAATGACCATAGGATGATCAGTTTCTGCCCCTGCAAATTCTGTCATTCCTAGTTTAAGCATCTATTTTGTCTAATTATACTGATTAATGGATATAATAAAATATGGTTATGTTTTCAAAAGATGTCTTAATAAAAATGAGTGTAAGCAAAAGTACAAATGCATTTGTAGTGCATAATCTAGTAGTTCATAGTGGAGACCTGAAAATATTGACACTTATTTAGTTCTTTCTATTAATAACTCTCAAAATGCTTTCTAAGGTGGGTAAATGCTGTAAACTATATTTAACAGATGGGAAGACTAATGCATCTAAGTTTACATGTCACATGCAAAGGTATATGATGGCTGAGTTAGTACCAGGAAAGAAACTCTAGTGTGGCTCCCAGCCTGGTACTATTCATTAGATTATGCTGCTTTCCTAATAACAGAAAATATTTTCTTAATTATAACTTTCAGAGGATTCATGGCCTATTTGATTGTGATGGAGAAATTCCTGTGATAAGAGAAAAATCAAATCATCTTACTTCAATGATTTCACCAACATAATAGCAAACATCTGTTGCTGCAGCAAATCTAAAAAAAAAGTCTACTGAAAATTACTGTAATATTTTTAGCTCTTCTCTGTGAAGCTATTAGTAGAGAAAGGGCTGGATTGGTGTACATATTCAGAATTCATTAACTGTGCTTGCAATTTCTGAGCACATATAATGAAAACAATAGGAAAGCACAGTACTTCTCTTGTGTAAAGTTGGTGGGGTGTAATCCTCTGAAAGGTGATTATTTGTTAACAAAACGGTTGTAACCTATATTATACTTAAGATACAATTAAAAACAGCTTTAATTGGATTGGACATTCAATGAATATGCATTTTAACTAGAATTTATAATGGTTTTTATTTAGACGAAAATGCGGGAGATGGAGAATTAGATCTTAGTGGAATTGACGACACTGAAATAGATAGGGTAAGATATATTTTTGTTCTCTATGTATCTACATGCTAATCTCAAAGGAAAAATACATTTTTCTGTAGTTTATCCTCCCCTGCCCTAATTCTTCCACAATTTGATCTGAGGAAGTGGGTCTGGCCCACGAAAGCTCATCACCTAATAAACCATCTTGTTAGTCTTTAAAGTGCTGCATAGTCCTGTCTTTTGCTCTAACCTCTGACATTGATGGAACATGATTGAGCTTTTAGCCAGCTCCCTGTGTGTATTGGTTCCCAGCAGCAATGGACGGTTGGGGACAGGTGGCTCTGTGAGAGCTGATGCTCATGAGAAGCTGGCTTAAAGCGAGCACTGGTTTCTGCCTACCCTTCCTCCCCCCGCCACATTGTGGCCTCTGATACAAAGGCACCAGCGTGCAGGGGGGTGGGGACAGCTGTGTTGGAGCTGGTACGCGCTCCCTGTGCGCACTGGCTCCTGCAGAGCGACCTCCCCCTGGGTAAACATGTTACACGTTAACCAAAATAAACACATTTTAACATCCCTACTATAAAGGGGGAATGTCCACCTCCTCATTTGGTGAATGGTACCTAACTCAACTTGACAATCTTACCCAAAAAAACCCCCAAAACAGTTCATTTTGATGATGTGCAAAAGGAGACATTTTGACATTTCTGAACATTTTCTTTTTTTATTTTCACCAAAATAGTTTGCCACTAACAACATGAATTCATGAATGTTTCATTTGACCCAAATCTGCACTTTTCTGGGAGGTAGGGCGAAACTTTGGCCAAAACTTTTCACCCAGCTTTAGTCCCAGGCTAGGGATGCCTTTGTTCTAGGTGTACAGACAGTGTAAGAGTTCCTGCCTCACAGCCTATAAGCCATACAAAGGGCTAAAAGGGAAACAAAGACCCTGAGATGAAGTGATGTGCTCAAGGTCACACTACAGGTCAGTGCCTGAATCCAGATTTTGTGACTCCCAGATGGGTGCCCTCTCCACTTAAACCATGTTACAAATAGAAGGTACAGTAAAAAAACCAGGAAAAAACAGTGCAGTAAATGGGGTTGTATACATGTAACTGAGCATATAATTTGATCTGCAGAATCTTTAATTTTGGTGATGGATGAGCAGGAAAGGGCCCCGCTTGACTTTCAGCACCAAGGTTGAGTCTGCTAAGTAGGCAGAAATAGAAGACTATAGAGAGGAGTGCATGTGCTATGGAAGTAACAGAAACAGTAAACTCCCTCCACACCAATTTCAAAGTTACTCATCATAGTAGATCCATCATTTAAACAGAAGCTTGGAAGGAACAAACCCATCGTCTCTTCCTGCTAGAGTCTCTGCAGTGAAGTCATAACTCTGAGTTTATGACCTCACATTCATTTCCCTGGGAACAGAGTGTAATTTTACAGAGGATTATGAACTTTCCGAAGGTGTAAGCAGGATGAATAGTTGAGCTATGCGTGAGTGTATTTTCATTATTATGACCCAGTTTTAATACACACAAATGAAACTCAGAAAATATTGGCCTGGTAACTGGTACTAGAAAAATGTTTTTCCAAGTTTGTCCCAGTGTGAAAGATGACTCCTTGCATCAATTTCGTTTGAGTTGTATTATTTTTCTCGTAAACTAATTGAATGCATATTTTATTCTGGAAAAAATCTGGAATGGTAAAAGGCATAAAATGCTAGAGAATCAATCTGTTTTATTAGCACTTAGAACTAATATCACATACAATACTTGTCTCTACTCTTTAAATGCATACACAATAAATTACTTTTAAAAAATGTTCATAAAAAGATGATTGGTAATGGTTTGAAGTTCTCACAGCTCTACCAGTGTTCCTCATTCCCTACCTGCATTGTCCAACAAGAACCAGTGTTCCACAAAGCCTAGTTGTGCTGAATGTAATATTGGATTGGTATTGTAATCTGCACAATTCAAAGCTAGATGGAGCGTCATCATGCCACTTTAATATTGCAATTTCCAGACCACATTCTGGTTTGTTCCCCTGATCCTCACAACTCTAGTGACTTGAGTGAAACTGAGTGAGTATAACTGAAAATATAATCTGAATGAACTCCGTTTTCCAAAGTGGAAGGACTAAAATGTTAACTTACTGTGCTAGTTAGTGTTTGTCCCTTCTTTCTTAACTATCTCATTGCTGCCCCTTGAATAAACTTTCCTTCATTAATCTAGTTCTAAAAATAAGGTTGAATATGAATTGCTTTTACCTGTATTTTTTCCAATGTATGCTATGCTATTTTCAACCTTTTAACTGAAAAAGAAATAACTCTATTTTGGTTTTAGTACATACTTGATGAAACAGAAGCTCAAATAAAAGCAGAACTGTGGATGAAAGAAAATGCAGATTATTTGAAGGAACAAAAGGGTAAGAAGCATAACTGAAATGCTCTTTCTGGTCACATGCTGCTAAAAGTAATCTGATACCTGTCCTTCATGCTGGCTACCTTTTTGTCATCTTTCAGAGAAAGAAGCAAGAATAGCAAAAGAGAAGGAGCTTGGAATTTATAAAGAACACAAGGTATACAACTTAAATATTTCAGCTGTGTTTAACAGTATCCATTTGCAAATTTCCTAGAAGCTCAATACATTTCTTGGTCAAAACTCTGCTTACAGATGTTTAGAATACATTGGAACAATCAAAGCGATAATTCAGTTCTCCACTTGCCTAACAATAGCTTTTTATCATACTTAATGAAACTGTGCTGCAGCACAGCTGTTCAGATAGTGAGTGTAACATTTTCCTGTCTAAGCACTGTTTACATCTCTATCCAAATACTATACTTTTAAAGTTTCTGTGAACTTTGTTAGCTACAGAACTTCTGTGTAATGCAACTTGGAGCAATTATTTTTTGGGGGCATGGAATGGTCAGTTGCATTTCTGATTGCTATGCTGGGTGATTACTTTATTTAAATATTCTTAAACAATCCTGAGTTTTTGGTAAAGTCATTCTTGTTATATTTGCTCAAAGTTTGCTACCACAGCAGTACTTTTTTATGTTGTTGCAGTAATGAAGAGCTGAACAAATCTCCATTACAGCAACTTGAAGCAATATTGTTCTACCTTTCATAAAGCATGTGGCATTTATGCTAACAAGTGGCTTATGAGCAGTTTAAAGCAGTCTAATTGGCAATATATATACAATTGACAGCATTAATATTTTGTTTAATTGGCCAAGTGACAAGGCAATCTGTGTGTAATCTTCCCATGCACCTAAAATCAACATTAGCTTTTAGTGTGTGATTTCCATTATTCTTTTTAACAGATTAACAAAAATACACCATTTCCATTGCCCCCCAAAATACTTAAACAATAAAAAGTAAACCAGACAATGAAAGATGCTTGAGAGCTTCTCATTCATGCTACATTTGTACAAATGACATTGCACTAGTGATTTTCAAAATTGCTCATAGTACTCTGACACAGAAACATAGCCAAACACCCATCTTTTTGTTCTCACAACTTTTGAGTTTTTCTCTAGCTCCCTGCTATTGCTGGCAACTCTTGGCTAGAACTTGGTTAACATAGCACCTGCAATTTTCACAGTAGCATTTGACCCATGAAGGTAAATAGAGCAGCTGTTATGCATTCAGAAATAATTCACCTGCAGATTTAAATGAGAAGGGATATGTTGGGCAAGGCACCAAAGTTATTTCTTGCTCCTTTTGATTGGGACCCTGGGACTCTTCTTTTGCCACATATACACTGGAAGACCCTTCTGTTTATAATTTCTTATGAACTGGGTTGCCGTGTCAGTCAAAAACTATGACACAAGCGTGCCTCCAACTGAACAGCACTGACATCACTGCACTGAACAGCACTGACATAATTGCTCAGAGGCCAGCATTAATGCCAGTCTATTTACCTACTGATTGCCAACTCTGTAATACAGTTGGCCTTCTTCACTGATTCATGGAACAAGAATCCTATAGCTACTCCTGAACATGGAATTCCTGTAATTTTGAGCCTCACTTGACAGAAATGAACTTCACTTTTAAACAGATGTTTTGGGGGGAATGGATATTTATTTTTTGGCTAATTTTATAAAATTTATTGGGATCCTCTCTTCTGTCAATGGAATAACCCTGCCTCCTGTTGATGTCTGTTTCTCTTTGGCAAATTTCAGAAACCATAGGGTTAATTTAGTAAAGCATTGTAATGATATGTAGTAGCATTTGGCAGAAAATACAAAAGCAGCTAATGCCTTATTCCTTGAAAGAGTGACATTGATTCTGCAGTGTTCTCAGATGGCCAGAATCTCCATTTTACAGCTGATATCGGTACTGCAACCTGCAGCAGTACAGGAACATCATACTGGGGCATTTGCTTTGTACTGACTTCAAGTGAACCATGCTGCCTATTGGGTCATCTAACACCAGTGGCAGTGGCACTGCAGATCATCCTTCTCTTGGTAAAATTATTTTGACTGTATCTAAATCGCTAATTTTACATTTCAATTAAGCCAAAGAAGTCTGCAAAAAAGCGGGAACCAATTCAAGCCAGCACAGCAGGAGAGGCAATTGAAAAGATGTTGGAACAGAAGAAAATCTCAAGTAAAATTAATTATAATGTGCTAAAGGACCTGAACAGCAAAGGAAGTAGCACACCAAAGAAAGAGGATGACAGCACTGATGACAGCAGCAACACCAAGAAGCTGTCAAGAAGAAAATCTACTGTCAGTAGGAATATAGCCAATGCTGTAAACAGTATGGGGAAAAGGTATTACTATTATTCATTTATATCACTGTCTGTGAGGTGGTCTATGCATCTTTCTGAGCAGACAGTGTAGATATTGTAACACTTGTTTGAGTTATGTTGGGGCTCTGATTTTATTTATTTTGCATGCAATGACACAATGAAACCTTATTTGCAGACCTCATATTAGCTGACAGTTTGTGTGGATTAACCAAAGAATCAATGAGATTTCACATATGAATCTGTTAGCCATAGACATCTATTACAGTAATGTTGACATTTCTCATCCTTCTTCATAGTCACAGACATGACACTAAAAATGCTGAAGTTTTGGCTTTTCCACTTCAGATGAAAAATAGATAGTATCCATCTGTTATGACAGTCAGCTCTTCTGATTAGCTTTTATTTTCGTTTTATTCCAAACTTTTGTTGTTAATTGATAACACATATAAAACTTTATAGTAAACATGCATGTCAGTTTTCTGGTCTGCACTTTAAGGCTGTGATGAAAATGTCTATTTAAATGGGGAAAATAATCAGACTTGATAGATAGATTTGGCATATGCTGCAAAATGTACAAGGAAATTTGTGTGCGCTGTCTCCGATATTCAGCTGTTTTATTAGTGTGCTTCAGATAATGATTTGAACTACTTCTATGCTTAGTCATTTCTCATTTGTCTATTACACATTTATATAGTGCCTAAAACGTATGGTTTTTACCTCCAAAGACTAAGTTTAAGTATAACTGATAATGGACAAAATGTGGAGAGTGAGAGAAACAAAGATTGCAATGAGCTAATACCTGTAGTATGTTGTTTATGGTTGGTGAAGACAAGGTGAAAGGTGCAAGGGGAATGAGGAAGTTGATCCCTGGTGACTGGTTGAACCAAAAGGAGTGAGAAGGAAGAATCAGCAGAATCATCACGTGGAAGATGAAGTCCCAAAGGGTTGAGGGTAGGAGATTAGGAGAGAGAGAGAGTCCAGAATCAAAGCCCTAACAGAGGGAGTTTGGCTAGAGATGTATCACAGTAATTCAGCAGCTAGAGAAAACCTATTGAACATACTTTGGAGGAGGAAAAGGAAGAATGCATGTATGAGGAGAAATTGGTGGAGTTGGGAAGCAGCAGCGGTGGAAAAATGAGGCTAATATCACAGCCACCAGGGAATGAGGGAAGTAACCACCAGATGAGAGGTTGGCAGTAGTGGGAGGTGGAGAGCCAGGTAACTGTCCGTTCAAGCTGGGAAAGGGGGAAAGACTGAACTCTGGTTAAGAGAGGAAAGAAGATAGGTGGAGATCAGGACCCAGAATCTAAGTAGCGATAGCACAGCAAGAGTCTACAGAGTTCAGATGCTTATTCTGGCCCTGGGTTTAAGAGCCAAAATTTAAGAATTAATATGTAAATAAATTGAAGAGCAATATCTTGTCTGTTTAAATTTTTCAATATTCCTAGGAGACTTGATTCTGCAAGATATGTTATTATAATAACAAAGATTTTCTCCCATGTCTGGTATTTTTTTCCCTGTTTATTTTTTGTTGTTTACCATGATTGCTCTATGCTTATACAGTTCCCTGGAAAGATCATAGAAATAGCCTTAATAACAAATTTCCTCGTCTCCCTTTTGACCCTTTTACTTTATCAAGAATATTGTAAGTCTTTATTTGTTGATAATGGTGAAGTCTAAAAAACTAAGAACTGTTTTCCTCTGTTAGCGAAGTGAAGTGCAAAAAATTACAAGAATAATTTTGTAGCATTTCACACACATTACCCTGAACATATTTAGATTTTTATTAGTCTTAAGTCAGGAGTTACATATTCTAATTAAACAATGCTTTGATTCTGTTGTCAGAAGGTAACCATTGATATAAAAAGTAAGTGCCTTGCATCATGGTAGTACTGATTTTGAAACAGTTGGATATCAGAGCTGAGCATTTAGTATGTCTACACAGCAGCTAGACACTTGTAACTGGCCTGGGCCAGCTGATTTGGGCTTACAGGGTTCGGAACTGTTTCATTGCTATGTAGACAGCTGGGCTGGCACCGGAGTTTAGGTTCTAATACTCTCTGAGGTGGGAAGGTCCCAGAGCTGTGGCTCTAGCCTCAGGCTATGTCTAGACTACAGAGTTTTCCCAAGGAATGCATCTGCTTTTCTGAAAAAAATGTCAGAAAAGCAGATGCGTTTTTTTTGGCATCCCTGTAAACCTTGTTTTATGAGGAAGAAGGGATGTTCCGAAAAAGGGTTTTTTCCTCCTGACATTTGGCCCAGCGTAGACGGGCCAAATGTCGTAAAAGCCTCTTCTGAAAAAAAAATTGGAAAATTTGCATATCTTTTTCCGAAAACAAAACAAAAAAAACCACCCCGGTAGTGTAGACGTAGCCTCAGTCTGGAAGTCCTATAAACTCAAGTCACTTAGCACCAGCGAGCTGACTTGAGGTATCCTGACAGTTCTTGACTGCTTCTCTACCTCTTCATATCACCGTTTTCAGGACCTGATTCTCAGAAATGTTGAGACCTGTAGCCCCAGTTGAAATCAGTAGGTGCTTGAGCCACTAAGCAATTTTAAAGAAAAATACCTTGAATATAAAAATAAACAATAAAACAGTATGGAAAACTATTTAGAGAAATACACATCATCATATTCCAAAATAAGGTTATAAAACCATGTTTATTTCCCCCTTTCAAGTACTCAAAGCACATCCTGAGGATGCTTGCAGAGTTCTCTGTCACTGATTAGCAATTTTCAAATGTGGTTAATTTTGCAGCAAACCTGCAGGAGTTCTTTGGTGTGGAGTGGGTGAACATACAGATATGTATATTAAAGAGAGCTTGCATTTCCAAAGTAATAGTCCTGCTAAAACAATACTGAGAACTTGGCAAGGAAATAGATTGTTTTTATTTCCTACAATTAAAGATTTATGATATTCCTTTTGATTTTCTTCCATTACTCTAAGTGCCATACATTGGCGTCCAGAAATTCCTTTCTTCAGAATTGTTTTTGTGTCATGCATAAATTCCTTTATTTAGCATTGTTCTTCTGAGAGGTGAATGGATAAATACTTCTCCTGTGATATAATCATCATGGTAATGTGTATGCAATTAATAATAAAAACCCTTCACATCTCTCATTAGAAAATGAATGAAGTATATATGCCAGTATCCAGAAGACATTAGCAGAGATTTTGCTAGCAATTTATTTTTCAGTGATTTATAATCCTGCTAGTTTATTTTCAGAGGTGTTAAATATTTAGTAATCTATTGGCAGCAGCATCTTGCATCACAAGCATCTATAAGATCAGTATGCTTTAATCCAATATGTCTATTATTCTGAGTGATAGTTAAGTCTTAAAGATGTACTGATTCAATTCTGTGGCCTAATTGAAAAGTACTGAGACCAAGCTATTGGGAACTTGACAAGCGAAGAAAGGAATATTGGATTGTAGGTGATTAAAGCCGAACTCTTGTATGGGAAGCAGAGTTTCAATATGGAGCAGCCTTTCTTGTTCCCCATTCTCAAGTGAAATTGTTCTTCATGCTTCCTTGACTTCTGTGCTTAGCAAAGGTCATCATAATATAGGAAGGGTCAATCTACTGTATGTAGTGCAAGGAAGTAGGCAGCGCAGCTTCAACTTTCTAAATGTTTTAAACTCGTAGATAAAATGTGACCTCTATAATTGTAAGTTTTAGTTGAGAGGTTCCCCCTCCCCATCCTATTTAAAAGTGAATAATTTACTTGCAAGTATAAATCTGTACTTCCTTATGCCTTGTTAGGCTACATGCATGTAAGAACAGATTCAGAGTAAAGCCCTTTGAATGGAAGTTTTGTTTGAGAGATGGACAGAATAAAGATAGTATTAAAGAAAGGTCTTCCAGGTTGTGTTCAGTGTTGTGGCAACAATAAGTAATTAAATGCTGTAATGTTGTATAACTGTTTATTCCCAACAAATATTTAAGTAGGTGGAGTGTTAAGAAAGTTACATAGAAACAAGCTAATATCTTATTTCCCTGGTAAATGGCCTTTTTAATAGAGCTTCATTGATGATCAAATTACTGTTAGACTAATAGAAACATTAAATTCAAAAGAGCATTTATTTTATTGGTTTAATCTTTTATAAACAGCAAACTAACCTGGATTTGAAAGCTGGGCTTGCAGTTTCTGGATTTTTGATGGGCTACTAATTTCAAAGAATGCTTTTTAAGAACCAAGCAATACTTGGTTCTCTTCAATAGAGAAATATCATCAACTATACCAGTGTGTTCAAATTTGTCCAGTGTTATGTTTTATCACAAACTGGACGAATTATGTGCTTTTAAAAAAACAATTAATTTTATTTGAATGAATTTCCAAGAAGTATGCTGGAGTTAAACTTAATATGCCTAATATGAGTTAGTACTGAACTCAATTAAGAAATAAGTTTGGAAGGTTTATTTATATAAATAAGGTTAATAAAATTTCTCATTGCATATCATTTTTTGTCTCCAGTGAGTACGAAGATTATCTGGTTAGAGAGTCAAGTAATTTTATTTTTGACACACTGTATGAGGCAATAACTTCCTCCTAGTTAGTGTGTCTGGATTTTTAGGATCTAGCGCATGAATAATTGTTTGAGCTATACAGAATACTATTAAAATTGTTGCCACAGCTTAATTTTAATTACCCACTTGCACAGTTGGTCTTCAATAATGTATTTTTTAATGTGAAACACGATTCATAATTATAGAGGGATAGCATGTGAATTCATTTTTTTAAAACTTATTGTATAATTTCCACTTTGGTGAGCTTAGTATAAAATAAAATTCCAATTTTGAACAGAGTTATGTTCTTGAATTCTTGAAGTGTGATAGAAGAGAGGATCCAGGTGTGGTAGAAGTATTAATAGTTTACATTTATTTGAACTGAAATGTTAAAATATTACTCTCAAAGAGAAATCTGTTGTAACGAGTAAGTGTGGGACTGAAAGGCCTTCTTAATCATTACTTTTTAAAATTTTAAGCCTATTTATTGCTATATACTTGAAATTGGCAAA